ACACAAGTTTAATACAACTACTCTATCTCATTTTCACTATCTGACATTGACATGGAAGTTTGCACCCAAACTAAAATCTTAACGGTCTCCAAGAACAGCTCTACAAGCCCAGCTAACCGTGAAAGCTGCTTATGATGCTTGTTGCTGCGAAATACAATTTCCAAGTGGATGAAAATTCACTATTTCACATCCGCCCTACCAACAAATATGCTTGGCATGCAACTTTACTAGAAGCTGGCTCTCAAATTTCATGGACCTATTGACTTACTTGAAAAGGTGGGATCGGTGCATATCACCTAGAATTACCAAAGGACTCCATCCATCATCCAGTTTTTAGATGTCTTAAGAAGTTCCATGGAAATGAAACAGTTCAGCCGGCTCATCCTCTAGTTATCAAAGGGGAGGGAGGTACTTCCCAACCCACAAGTTGTATTGGTGCAGAGTGTGAGAATAGGTTGCTGCAAAATGCTAATCCATTGGGAGGGTCTCTCTCCAATAGAAGCATCCTGGGAAGCTGGGGATGAGATCTTGGCCCATCATCCAACTTGGTGCTCGTGGACAAACACCATTCCAAAGGAGAAAGAAATGTTACAAACAATTAGAGTGCATATACTTTGGATTTTTGATTTACTGGTCTTATCATGTGCAAGGAACCCGTAGCTAGGGGAGGAAGGATGCCCCTACTTTAGACTCTACTGGTTTAATTAATTGAGAATGTAGATTTGACGTAGAATGGATTACTTCTAGATTACCTAAATAGTTTAGAAATCATAATTCTATTAAGTACAAAGCAATTATACCATTTACACAGATTTATTATTATAATTTTAGTAACTTTGAGAATTTATTCATATTAGTATTGTTTTATTTTCTTATTTGTATTAGTAATATTATTTATTAGTATTCGCGTTTCTCATTTTAATTTTATTTAGAAAAGGTTACTTATGAAATATTATAAATATTGTTGTAATTTTATCTTTTGGAACAGATTTCAATTATTTAATAAAATATTTCAAGAGTTTTTCAACTTTTTTGTTGTGTGATACAATTAAAATCTTTAAATGTAATGTTTAAAACTTCTTAAATGTAATGTTTGAGAAACCCTAACTGTAATATTTAAGTTTTTTTTACCTCAAATCTTAAGCAAGAAAACTAAGGTTAATTTGTCCTACATAAAGGTTTTTGTGGAATCATGTTAGGCTTTGGATTAGGGGTCAGATTTATTGTTCACATTTATATTTATATCTAGTCTAATAGAGAGCTACTTCCCATATCCTCCCTATAATTATGTTTATTAGCATCAAGAAAGCTCATTGGCAAATAATCCAAACACCATATTTTATTTTTCCAGAGGCTCTCCTTAACAAGCCTCAACATAGACCAACAAGACCAGAATCAAGGAAGCAACCTGCCAACTAGCCTCAAGACTTCCCTGTTTCAGACCCCTTGACTAGATCCCAACTCTGGAACCGAGACAATTATAGCGAGAAGCAGGACCAAATATCTTGACTCAAGGATCGGCCATAGAAATGATATTAATTCAATGCATAAAATTGAATCAGCAGCATATACTAGAGAATAGAAAGAAGTTTTGGTCTATTCCACAATCTAATTTGTTGTTGCAGATCTTATTGTTGTTGCAATCACCTCACAACATTCTATTTCTTTTCCAGTCTGAAAAACTACACTGCCTTACAGCTGTCATCAATTAACACCTAAAATGATACAACTTAAAATATAGGAGAATGAAATAACACTTCCTGATTCAATCTTTATTTGTGAATGTGTGGAAGTTAAAATTCGTTGCAACAAATATAAATTGAAATATTAATGTGAATGTCATTATCTGCATAAACTTTTTTCATTTCCATGCATCTAAACAATTTTAACCTTTTAAACTCTTTTGCAGTTCTAAACTTCAACTTGCGGTCTGCCAAAAATGGTGCCACACATGAGCCATGTGCAGATATGTGAATAAAACAGAAACTATGCAATTATTCACACCAGAACTCACTTTTTCAGAATTCCTCTGAGAAATGGAAATGCATGCGCTAGTTGTTCCAGTTGAGTCAACCCTTGTATAAAAGTCACAGGAATAAGGAACACAAACATGAAGACAATTGCACCAAGAAGTGTTGCTAATTTACGGATCCAAAGTTGTCTGTATGGTATACAGAGATTTGACCAGTATATATCATGTGGTTCCGGAGCTAACTCTGTCACCCATAACATAGGATTTGATGATTGAAGAACCTCTGCAACAACAACAGCATCAAAACGAGTCTTGAAGAAAACAAAAGCAGCAGGGCACTCCTGCATGAAGGACCAAAATCTTCCTGTTAACAATGTCCACCAATAAAATTTTGGAAGGACATACGTTCCTGAACACCGAGATGTTCAAACGAAGAATATGAACAATAAAAAAAGTAAAAAAGAAATGG